CGCGACTCGGCACGCCACCACCTTGCTCGCCGATCCACTTGATCGCCTCCTGCTTCTTCCCGAGCTCAGTTGCTTGACGCATGGTCGATTCCAAAATAACGGCCCAATGCTAAGGTGTTTACAGCGGCCTGTTATTTGAAGAGGTCTTTTAATCGAAGCGGTCTTTTATTTCTAGAACATTGTCGAAAATTCGATGGGAGCTTGTAATCTATATTGTAGTTGTCCTTATCTCTGACCACATAAAAACTGTGCAGCTCCGGTTTGGGCAGACTGTCGTGGAGTCTGAAGACCTAGTCGACAATCTCGTCTGATCTATTCGCTCGAATCTGCCGACTAAACGACAAAAATTGCTGCACGGAAGGATTATGTTTCTGCATAATACCGCTCGTGCAACAGATGGTGATCAGCAAAGAAGCATCTTGATCATTTAATTCAGCGCTGTACTCCTGGGTCAACGATGTATATTAACGCAAATATTGTATCATTTTCATCACTTGTGACTATGTCGCGATATGGAAGAATGGAGTCTAAGGAATGACCTATGGAAGCTTGAATACGGTATGCGTACACTCCATGCTGCCTCGCGACGCTCTCAATCAGACGAATGTCCACCAATCTAGATGATTTTGAGCTCGAAATCTCTACAGACGCAGCCGCAACTGCTTGTTTGTATGCCGTAGTGTGTCTACATCACTTGCTTCCATAAAGCCGCGGTTCTGGCTGCAGTGGAGGAAGCTTTGGGTGATCATCACCGCAATATTTAGTTTTTAAGTACCTTGGCCATTTTCAACCATAACAGTTACCACATTTCACGAATGGTGTTCTTATACTACAATATTGAGACTGTGAAGCATATCAAATGTAAAGCGCTCACTACTGATAGAAGTAGTTCCTCTTGGACCCGCATCTTTTACAAAAGCAGACATTCTATAATTTCATCATACCCTTCATCATCTTGTAATAATTGCAATAATTTCAAATACTCGCCTCCTTGGAGTGACCTTGAGTAAGCTCCTCATCGAATTGACTGAAGCGGCTTTCGAAGTGTGCCTGAAGATTAGCAGCGCGTTATACTTTAATATCTAGCTTAGATATATGCAAGCGTCGCAGACGAGTTGTTGCAATTGTATTTCACGTTTGTTCGGCGATCTATAGCGATAACATTCAGTGTATGATGCTCTCGTTGAGCAACTTGATTGTGTTCAATGTCAGCATTGGATCGCTGCGCTTTGTGTAACCGTCTTTGTTCTGTATCTGACACCAAGACTTCATTGTGATTATGTGAATACATACGTTGTGCCTCGCATGTGCTATTTGTAAAGCTCTAACAGCGAAAGCGTTTGGTAAGGTATTTTACCCCATACAAAGGATTGTCGACGTATAGCTGTGGCCACAGCCCCTGCATTACTGGTTCGCCCAAGCCCCACTTTGACGTGATGTGCTCGGTGAAATCCTACTTACTTCACATCCCAGTCTTTCACATACTATCCGCAAAGCGTTTATGCGTTGCCTTATCTCCATGCATCGCTTTGTTGCTACTGAACAAATCTCCCGTGGTGTTGCATTTAAAGACATTGGTTTCTTGTGACAAATTTGCTGTTGCTCTCGCCTTTCATATCTGGATATAATATATGTAGGTGTGTATCTAGTCAGATTGTGTCAATATACCTATTTCTTCTCATCCCTACGCGTACTCGACTCATTGTGTTTTATCTGACATGTATACAATCGCGGAGAACGGCTTTCCTTAAACGCCACTAATACGTTTTGCTTGATGCACTTTTGGTGTCATTGCCATTTGAAAAGTATTGTGCCTTGAAATTTTGTGTATGGGAAAAAGAAAAAACCGCGAAGCAGATAGTTGCTTTCAACAAATGTTCATATAGGTTTCCGTCAATACCGAAAAGCTCGATAAAATTTCCTGAGATCTCTGGCTTACGACAGTTAAGCAAGCTCGGATTGTAACCTTTCGGATTATTACCTTTATCCGACACTTAGACGCTTGAAATACTACGCCGCCGAATTCAACAAGTCGATAGCTTGCGGGTTTCAAGAACGTCAGCTCCATTCTTATAGAAAGTATTGCTTTGAATAAAGCAACCTTTCAATCAAAATGACTAGTTTAACTCCTAGTGGATGGCAAGCTTATTGATGGACTTGAACGTTTGCACCTCGATGGCAAAGTAGGAGATTCCGTTGATTTATACTGTGACCGCGTAACTCAATATTTTGAAGCCAAACATTGATTGGCCCGACCATAACAATCGCAAACGCAATATAATAATACTACATTCAAATTTTCGCGGAAATGCAACCACATGTGTATATGATTATCAAAGGTCGAGTCAGAGATGTCCAATCCCATCCAAGTCTTAATCTTGGAATTTGTGCTGATATTCAGGAGCACT